ACGAAATCAGTAGGCTATCGAAACTTACCTTATCCGAGTCGGTGGTGTTGGTAGAACCAAAGGATGCCAGCGAATTTCGATCAAGATTCTCCACGCTGTCGTCCAGAGAAGCGCATTCTTCGAGATCTCGACTGGAACGCTGGCTCGAACTCTTTTTCGCAGGGCTCTTGGGCATGCTTAAACTGAAATACGTCTCCTGAATAACCTCGCGCAATCGTTTCACCCACAACTGCTTAGCGTCCATCGAATTAGCTCGGAGTACAACGCGAGTATCGCTGGTCGGTGCGCGTCCTGTCCAAACGGCAAATTTGCATTCGTCACCCTCGATATGTTCGGTCACGCCCAACTCGGATGTCATCAGCCGGCTCTTGTAAATGTACTTGACCTATCGCGACGAACGGTAATGAAATTTCTTACAATCCCCCACCACCGTACAGATCATTTCGATCGTGTCTCCACGACCTCCCCATATTTCCACCGCTTTTCCTTCTCTCTTTTATACTTTTACCTACCTTTCCGGCGGAATCTTTCACCTCTTTGCTAAACAGCAGGTACAACTCGAACAGAAATATATGCCGATCCCTGCCTTTTCTGATCAATTGCTTAGGATCCCACACCGTAAAAGAGTCCTGCAGCACTACGTCGCCTAGTGTATCTATTCTTACGTCGCAACCTTCCAGCATGCTCAAATGTAAGGCATCGTTTGCTTTCTTAGGCACATTCAACATTACTTCCAGTCCATCCTTTATCTCGCCCTGTCCTTCTTGGCAACAAGCCTGAAGAAAACACACCGTTCGATAATGTGTGTAACACCGTAAGAAAATGCAAGCAAATAAAACAAACAAACAAATTATCGAAGCTATTCCATTACATACCTGAAGATCCTTCAGCAGTAACTGATATTTGGTAATCCTTTGTACCGGTTTGATTAAATACGCAGCAATCGGGTGTTCAACTCGATGTTTCCTCTGTAACTCCTCGAACCATGTACCACCGTGAGTAACCAACAATTGATTACTTTCCGGTTTATTCTTGCAGTATGTTACGTACATGTCAAACTTGAGTGCCTAATCAACCAACGAACACGACCCCGTTCATACTCGTTCTCGCGAACCATAGTTCGAACCACAGTTAAACCTACCCCACCACCGTCTGATAACTTTATCGGTTCTACAATACTCACCCATGTCACGAAACAATGACCAACGTCTTCCGGCATGGTTTCGTATTTTTCCAACTCACGAAGAAATATATTACTATGAAAATGATGAATCTCTTCCATATTGCTAAAAATTATAGACTCTCGCCCTTGCAATCCAACGGGAACGTTTACTTTTCCGCATCGCGTTTCTTCCAAAAAACATCGAATACACGTTTCCAAATCTTTCACGTAAGTACGTTCGGTTTGCAGCAATTCAGCCATGATAAATCTGTCGATCACATTACACAAGCAATCGTGAAAAAAGAAACACCTATTCGTTCTCTCAGTCAGTAACACCACCACAGCGAAGAAAAATACACACGTACTCTTTCCGTCGGGCCGATCTTCTTTTCTCCTCGTTCAATTCTTTCAGATCCTTTCCCTTGATTTTCTCCTCCAACAAAGGATCGGAATTCCGATCGATCGAAAGATCCTTTTGGCCATCGTCCGATTGGATACCGAGATCATCTTCGATTTGAGTTTTGTAACAATCCATGCGCGTACTAAAGTCCTTGTATCGTTGATCCACCTCGGCGACCGAGTGTTTGATCACTGCCGCATGAGCATGCCCCTTTTCGACCAAATTGTCCGCAAGTTGGATCAACAACTTCACCCTTTCTCTCGTTTCCTATCGCACGAATATCGCACGAAGAAGCAAAGGAAAAGCACAAGCAAAGTAAAAGAAACGCGCGAGATAATGTTTAAAAAGGCATGAAAAGTTTCGCAGCTCCTTTAAATTCGTTGTGTTCTCGTAGCAATTGTTCGTTTTCGATACGATTTTTCCCAACGTTGGTATGCGTCGCTAAATATAATTCGCCCGTTTCTTTGATCCATTCGAGCGCCTGTTTCGCACTGCGCTCGAACAAAACGTACTGATGACACTGATCCAGTCGTTTTTTACGTTGCGTCCAGTACTCCAGCACGCGATTCTCTTTACTCAGCAATTCCTCCAAAATACCTGAAAACAACCCCATCCAATTCACACGCTCCTCCTTCCAAACAACAAACCACCACCACCAACAACGAACGGAACAAAATGAGAACGGAAAGATATACATATGTATCAAATAGAGAATCTACACAAGAGCGTAGTACAACACTAACTTTTCACTTTATTCTCCGAACCAGCGCTGTTCGCCTGATAACTGTAAAACTGAAGACTGCGATTCGTATATTTCAGGAATGTTTCCGCAGTTCGTCGTACCAATGTGCACGCCTTCAAAAACGCTTCTTTCTGTTCTTGATGTTTGCCAACGAGTGTCGGTACTTGCAGCGCCTTTTCGCCAGAAGCGCACCAATCCTCGTCCCTTTTGTATTCCCGTTCCAGACTATCCAACACGGAACGCACTTGTTCCGCAGTCTTGTAAAAGTTAATGCTAGCAGTTACCAATTTATGCCTTTCCTCCGCACACGTCACCAACTGTTGCCATCTCTTCGTCACATCCTCAGCCACTTCTCTTATACTCTTCGGATCATAGTGATTCGCGCTGACCAGCGCATCAGCTCTATGCTTCACCTACGCAGCCAATCGCTCGATTATTTTCACAACGACCCATTGTCACATTTATCTCATACTTTACCTGAACCGCCGAGGTATGCGTTTTTTCTATCGCCACTTGAAATTGTTCGTGTTCCAAACGTAATTGTTCCGCATCCTGAAGATTTTCAGGTACTCTCAAAGAGGCCAACAGCATAGCCTCTCCATTACGGATCCAATTAGCTACGTGCGTAGCGTCCGTTTGCAACTGAACTAATTGAGAAGCTTGCTCTAGACGAACCCTTCTCATCTCTGCCAAGTCCTCCGCATCCATTTCCCTTTCGTTCAAAAATTCCAGAAGCACTTGTACCCTAGACGCAGCACTGTGCTGTCCATCTGCCATTATGCAAACTCCTGCCTGTTCCAATACCTGTGTACGTTTACATCGCGTTAAATGTAACTATAGTAAGAACTATAGTAGTTTTCTTTCATTCTACAGTAAAATATAACAACAACAACAACAACAACAACAACACTGGATACCCTGATACCATCATATCATCGATTTCGAACCTGAGCAAGTTCTTGACCTTGTTGCAAAACCTGAAAAGCGGTATTCTGCATATGTGCTACACCGTCGTTGTGTACACGCAACAGCTGTTCAGGAGAACCTTCTCGCAGCGGACCTTGTAATTCTTGCGCCCACATCTCTAATTGACCACTCGCTTCTAAAGCATCTCTTTCGAATACACGTAGCCGCAGACACAGTTCCAGTCTCAATTTTCTAGTGGCCCATAAATCTTCCAACTCCTGCCTTAAACCTGCTAGCCTGTCTAGCGCAGCCTCTACCGCGGATATCTGAAAACAATTCCTTCAAAAATGCTCCTTCTTCTTATACCAAATCTAACGTTCATCCGTGTAACAATACCAAATAGAGAAAATCGAGAAAAAGACCCGAACAACTCACAGAACCAGTGGTATCCGGAGCATCGGTAGACTCTCCGAGTTCCCGAAGCAACGCTTCGCCTTGAACAATAGTCGATGCACAAGCTTCCATGCAGGAGGCTCGATGTTGCGCACACTGCTCCAACAATCTCTCCGCTGTTTCCAGATTCTCCGCCACCTCGTCTTGTTGCAGTTCTTGTCGCAACTCGTCAACCCAACCGCTCAACTGTCGACATTATTATACACATATTACACACCACCACCTCTCTTCTCATACTCTATTCTTTTATTCTCCATCCTGCCTATCTACCTCTTTCTCATGCGTATAAAAGACAACAGCCAAGTCCAATCTTCGTCGACGTTGCTCAACCCTTGCAGCGAAGCTACCGACGTGGGCCTCTAATTCTTCAGCCACGGCGTATATCTCGTCGGGGGCACATTCGCCCGTATGCGCCAATTCTTGCGCAGCGGTAAGTAATTTAGTGGCGTTCGTATAAGTGTTCTGAATAAACGAACGAACGATAATATCGTCCAATTCTTATTATTATCATTATCATCATTATCAATGCACGCACGCACGCACGCACGCACAATAAGTAGTAATTATTACCTGTGCGACATTTTCAAAATGCTCATGACTTTTCTGATATACTCTCGCCTTTTGTAGATTTCGACCTACACCCGTATTCTTTCTGATGAAAACTTCACCGTGATTGGTCAACCAATCCAAAACTTGTTTCACATCTTCTTGAAATAATCTGCAATCGACGAGTATCGAGATTAGGAATACTCGGTATCAACCAATAACACAATATGCCGACCCCGCCACCAGCTGACACGGGCGACAAATGCTGCGATACCTTAACGCGAGTCGCTGATGTAATTTGACTTTTCGAGAATGCCAACGAGCTTCCAATGCCCTGTGATGACCCAAGATTTGATGGATCACGGCCAATACGTGCGACGCACCCTCGCTATAATCCGCGGCTGGATTTCCGCTCATACCGGTATGCCCGTCGATTCCATGTCCATCCTGACTCTAAACAAATCAATCACCTTATCCATTCGTCGAAACTGTTCGCTTCAAAGCGATCCGAAAGTATCCACCACCACCACCACACACACACACACACACACGTTACTTTTCACATGCATTATTATACACATATATTTTATACGTAGCATAAGTATAATAGCGTGCATGCGTTCGCAACTTACACAGCGTCGACGAGTGGTGTTACAGATAAAAGCATCGCATGCACATACGTGTGTGTGTGTGTGTGTGTGTGTGTGTGTGTGTGTGTGTGTGTGTGTCCCATGTACAAATATTTCTTCTACAAACGACCGATGCTCGCATATATGCAACGAGGAGAACAAAGAACAACGTACGAAAAGCAAAACAAAGATAAAGATTAGTTTGCAGGCATGTACATGTACATTCGTGCACACCAATAGACGTACATGTTTTCTGGCTGTATGGTCTATCCCTTGCGGTTGATTACAGACTTGCACGAGATGATCCAGTTGATAAAGAAGCTTCTTACTGGTACTATGCACCTAAACAACAGTAGGATTACCCAAAACCATACTTAAAGTTTCACCATGGGTCATTGTCGATCGCGTTGTTGAAAGTCGGTCAAATTCAATTTCGCGAATATACACCAATCAAAAAAACAACGAATTTCATTCCTCTTCGAAAATCTTTCGCACGATGCACCCCGTCTTTTTTTTTAATCTCCTACCAAATCTCCCTCCGTCTAACCCTTTAACATCATTTTCTTTCCTTTCTCTTCTTCCTCTCTATTCTTAGTTTTATTTCCTTTTTTTCTTTCGTTTTAATCAGACCCGCATACCAAGCACACGTCCACCGGTTAGAAGCTACAAAGAGAGAACAATTACTAATCGTTTCATACACAATCGATGCGAAATGTATCCGGGCTCGGACCGTGCGTCGAACCGAAGCCGTGACAAACTTGCAGCATCGAGCCTAGTCCACTCAAAAGAGCTTGATACGCGTCATACACCTGCCAAACATCATCGTCCATTTACCAAATAGAAGCCTAAATAATATCGCGAGTTACAATAACGTGAAATTACGTTGGAAATTACAAAAGAAAATGTACACATCCGGTTTATGCTTCTTGCGGCGGCGCCGTCGAAATTACGTATGCGTTCGTACAAAAAAACATAGATCGAAGCGTAAACCAACAGAGAAACGTTTTACATTCACAGTACGCGAGTCATAGTCGTCGTCATAGTCGTCGTCATAGTCGTCGTCATAGTCGTCGTCATAGTCGTCGTCGTCGTCGTCGTCGTCGTCGTCGTCGTCGTCATCACGAGATAGAGGAATAAAGACTTACCTCTGTGTAAGCTTGACACATCGCCTCGTAAAGAGTTTGATGCTGCCGTATGTGAGATTCTAAGATCGATATTTCGTTAGGTAAATTTCCAACATCGCAAGCTTGACTCCATCCTGCGACGCTATCGACGTATTGCTCGGCTTTATGATGAAACACAACGCTCAAACTAAGAACAGCGGTACGCTCGTCGAGTCCTGCAGCGAATTCTTTCCACGCTCGATCTAGTCGTCCGGCCACTGCCCTTACGTGTCCGGCAGCATAATGTTTCGTTTCGAGCAGACGGCTAGCCATCGTTAGAATTTTATTGATATTCACGTAAACGTTCATCGAACTCATCGTGAAATGTTTATGCTCTTCCTGCAAATTTTTAGCCAGTTGATAAGATCGACCAATCTCGACGTAATTCGCCAGAAATCCTTCCCTATTGTGACATATCCAGTCGAACATTTTCTCACAGTCCTGCTCGAAAAGTCTCAGTTGGAAGCATTGATCCAATTTTACTTTCTTGATATGCCACAACTGCAAAAGATGTTGTTGCGCGGCGTGTACCGAATCCAAATGTTGAATCACCAACGTTGCCAATGCTCGACCATCGGGATCGGTGCCACCTGTCGCGCCACTCTCTATACTACCTCCTTCGCCACTACTCGCAGCCATACCTAAAAGCGAACGTTCCCCGGTGTTTCATCGGTGTTCAGTAGTTAACCATCCATCCATCCATCCATCCATCCATCCATCCATCCATCCATCCATTCTTTCTTTCTTACTTACCGTTATTGAAACGTTGCAACAATCGTTTACCGACATTTTCGATCTCTTCCATCGGAACCTTCATAATTTTCTTCTTCATTTCGTTGTGCAAATCAATACCGTGTTTCGCTCCGGTCACATCGTCCGCAAAGTCGTTTCGACTCAAATCCTCTTGCAAGTCGTCCAATCTATCGAGAAGATCGGCCGCCTGCCACGTAAAGTCTTCCACGGCTAGTCTCGTGTCGATCCACTGAGCATGATCATATTGCAACGATCCATCTAAATCAGCGGTCAACTGCGACGGATCGATCACTTTCGTCAAAGCTTCTAAACTTATCGTGTTTATCTAAAACAAAATATCATCCCAGCTTTCCACAGTCTCTTCTCCCATTCGCACTTTTCTCTCCTCTAACGATTTTCTATCTTTGCTTACTTCGAAGTTATATTTCTTTTGTTTAGCTAACGACGTCCGTTGTTTCTGCCAGAAGTTCTCCGGTTTGATGATAAACGCAACATGGACCAATCTATGAAAATGCTCGTGCAACACCTGCGATTCAAAAATGTCCATGTTTCGTATCGCAAACTGATCAAGCTATTCTCATACCGAACGTAACTGGAAGAAATTCCAGCACAAATGTACTTTTCACGCTTCTAACCGATCAAACGTTCATATATGTCCTGCAAATGCCCGTTGGAAATTCTACATTTCAGACCACGACCAGAGTAGTATTACCTTCAGAATAGGTTTAACAGAGTCCCAAGTAGCACCACGCATGTCCACTATCACCGTGAAACGTAAGCCCCTGGCTTCATCGCCGGGCACGCTCAGCAGGTATTGCAGAAGGCGACGGTAATCCTCGGGTTTTGCTCTTTCACGTCTCGGAGTAGTTGGAAACACAAGCACGGATCCACCCCTGCGATCCCGACCACCTGGCAAAACGGCCAGGCGTTCTTGAAGCAAAGGTAAAACATCCGCTGCTCTCGACCCATCCATGTCCTTCACTTTTATTCAACCAAGTTGAATCCTGTTCGATAAAATTTACAAGATTACTACCGACATTATTATTATTATTATCATCGTCGACAGGGACATGCAGCCAATTGTTTCAACAATTACGTTACATTTAAATATTCTTCTTTCCACAGAGGGAAGGCAAAGTAATACGTTATTACGGATTAGACGTCTTTGTTAATTTTACAACATTGTCGTATCCTATACATCGCACGTTTGCGGTAAACAAAATATAAACGAAACAAACGATCAATCGTTTCTTTCGCCCGCTACGTTTAAGAACACACACACACACACACTGTGCATAGAACTTTTAAAAACACAATTTTAGACGTTTTCTTCGTCTCTATCACGGCACTGTCCGATGAAAAATGACAAAGGTTTTCGGTTCGATACTCTCTTTGTCAGAGAACTATCGAGAAACGGTCGTTAAGACAGTACGTTCGCGTGAAAAATTACGTTTTACCGTCTCAACGTATATCAATTCAACAATGTTCGCGTAACAATGTACATCGTATTCGTACACGGATCGAAATGTCCCTTTTGGTTCGATCCGTTTACGTATATAGCACCATACCTTCGGATAGACCACGAATCAGAAAGCACGGCCGTATCAAAATGAACATTGTTTCGCTCACCCGTTTCAGAGATCAATTCGGTGTGTAACTTCGGTCGTTCCGATTTTCTTATTCGCACCATGCACATCGATCGCCGGCGTTAAAACTTTCGCATTCGTAATAAATGCCAAGCTGCGAAATCGCGACCTGCCATATTCGAACTGGAGACTTCGTCGAACGAGAAATTTTCAACGATCTCTTCTCTCGTTCGAACGTCGACGTACATACGCCTTGGTCGAGTCTCGTCGATTCCTGCCGAAACCCTACGCAACTAACACAAACGCACGAACACAACGGCGGCGGACAACGGTGATTCTATGTCCCATCCTACTTAGGTGCTGTTCGCGTGGCTCCCCGTACCGCTGTAAATTTTAAACGCGACGAATACGAATTGTCGATAACATAAGTACACGATATACCTATTCGCACCTGCCCCAAGTAAATAAAAATATTTATCCTCGTTGATACGTAAAAAAAGATCGCCGAGGTGTAATATCGATAAAGAAACGCGGGATAATTTCGACTGTACGACCGAGGGAGAACAACCCCGCCTAAAATTCCCAAGTAGCCACGCATACTCATCGTATGTCGTTTCACATAGAACTACCGCTGTTGCTGCGTGTTAGTTGTGTACTTGATTTCGGTAAGAATCGACGAGACTCCCGGTATAGCGTATATACCGGGTACATCAACGCAACTTCGTCTCGTACGAGGGCAGCACATGTTCGTAAGTTCGCACTAAAGTTGTACCGCATTCGCATCAAAGTGTACATACTGTGTAACGCAACGTTTCCGTTTTAACCATCAAAAATAATATCGTTATTTATACAGCGACGAATTAACGACGATTCTTTTTGCAAGAAAGAGAAGAAATTAGTAGCAGGAGAAGAAATAAATATTAATTTCAGAATATCAATTTCAGCGGGTAAAGGAAAAGTTGTATAATTCGTTTCAAACGATCCTATCAGCGTGTCGCAACGAAATAACCGATCGCGTGTTTTCCTTTCAGTCGTAGCAAAAATTATGGCGAACGTTGCTTTACGAATTTTTACAAAAGACGTTCCATCGCGCTTGGCGAAAATTCATCTCGAACACGTTCGTCACGGACATCATATGCGAGGAAAACCACCGACGGTCGCCCTTAGTTTGAAGCAACGACTCGAACGTAAGTTAAAGCATAACGTTTTTTCAGCGTCGATTCTTCTTAACGATCTTTCGTACAGTGCTGAACAAAGTAGATCCGACGACGTCGTTTAAAGTAAACATCGGCTTTTCCACGAAAAAGGTCTCGATGGAAAAGAAGCAAATTTGGATGAACGAACGGAAAGTTAAACGATCGGACGTAAATTTCGTGAAACAACTAAACGACAAACAGCAGCGTAAGTAGAAAATTTTTAAAACAATATCAGATATATGTATCAGGTTACAACGACGATTGACATTCTCCGTACACGTCGTAGCGTCTGTGAATATGGAAGAAGTAAGAGAGGCTTGGTTAGAAACGAACAGTCCGTTCCACGCTCGCAGAATTGCGGATCATTATGGAATATTTCAAGACTTATTCGAGGATGCGTTTTTCTTCCCTGTCGTACCGTTGGAAATTGATTACAGGATAAAAGACGAAGATAGTTTCGTCAGAGTTCATACGGGAAATATCGTAAAACCTGCGGAAGCATGCGAATCACCAGAGGTGAAGTACAAGGCTGAAAAAGGCAGCTTATGGACATTGGTAATGTGCACACCGGACGGCAACTTGGAAAATTCGAACAACGAATATTGCCACTGGTTCCTGTGAGTCCGGAAGAGACACGTTCGTTATTTGCGAGTAATTCGAGAGGGATAAACGTTCGTTCGTTTGTTCGTTTCAGAGGAAACATTTGCGAGAACAGAGTAGAAGAATGCGAGCAAATAATGGACTATTTAAGACCGATACCAGCTAGAGGTGTGGGCTATTATCGTTACATATTTACCCTTTATAAACAAAACCAGCATTTAGATTATACAGAGTACAAGAGGGTGCAGCAGCAGCAGCAGCAGCAGCCTTGGTAAGTAGAAGAACCAACTAGAAAGAGAAAGAATCTCGATAGAAAGAGACTTTTACATTTCAGTTTACAGTTGAAAGAACGCAACTGGAATACGTTGGAATTTTATCGGAAATATCAAGATCATCTGACACCGGCCGGTTTAGCATTTTTCCAAAGCGATTGGGATCCCACGGTAAAAGAGTTCTATCATTCGGCGTTAGGTGTGCGTTTTTCCAATCGTTTTATTTTTCATTTCAAAGGTTCCCCCCAGGACTGTATAAATTTTTTCATTCGCAGATACGAAGGAGCCAATATTTCAGTACGATTTTCCGAAACCGTACGTTAAGCCGCAAACGTGGTTTCCACTGAAAGAATCGTTCAACGTTTATTTGGACAGATACAGAGATCCGAAAGACGTAACGAAAGAATTTTTCTTGAGAAAACTGCGAACCGTTCATCCTTTCAAAGCGCCGAAGCCACCTCTCAAGTACCCGAACGCGTGTAGTTTCGACAAGGGGCTACCTTCTTGGTTGAAATTGGAAATGCGAAAGGAACGATTGGGATGGGGCCGTGTCAACGATCTGAAATAAGAAATCCGACGACGTTTTATGTCACCTTGTAAAACGTTGTACGCGCACTGAGTTTCGTTTCAATAAACGAAATTGACTACAGATGATACCGTACCGATTTTCCCGAAGTCACTCCAGTCTCGTATAAGCTTCTACGGCTTGTTTGCTTCTCAGCTTGATCTCCGCCCGCGTTGGTACCGAAGAATCAATCGCTCGATGTTCAACGACAAGACCTATTATCGAAAGGCAAGACCTATTTTTCGTGCTACGTATATACGTACGGAACGGAAAGAAAACCTGTTGGTTCCAGTCCCGTATCGTCGAACTTGAGCTTGGATCGATAGTTGGATACGTAAGTTTGATACAAGTCTTTCGCTCTCTCCTCCCTATCTTTGTCAAATTCGAAATTGCTCATTCCAAACAACGCTCCCACTTTCCGACCGACGGTGGACAGTAACGCCAAACCTACGGATATATACGATAGGAGACGCGCAAAGGTGTGTAAAAGGTTGAAAAATCTTCGTATCGTTCGCTTATCACCTTCTGTCTCCAGTTTTTCAATTATCGGTACGTCCATTCGTTCTTCGTCGATCGACTTTTTCGTCACCACTTTGTTACCCCTTCTGACACAGATCAACATCACCACCATATTTTGCAACGCTGCTCTGATATCCGTTAACAATTCACCGCGTTCCTTCTTCGAATTTTTACGTTCGGATTCGCGATTCTTTTGCATCGCGATCTGTTCGAGTAAGATGTTTTGCGGGGCACTTACTCTTCCACGTCAGCCACGAGAGAATGTTCCAAATTGGAGAGGGTGGTCAGTGCGTCGTTCTTCTTACTCAACGATAAATCACGCTCTTTCACGTTGCGATCGAATTGCTCCAACAGTCGTGTTCTTTGTTTCGTTTGTTCCTCTAGCCTGGAAAGCACACACGTACTTGCGTGTACATACATACGTAACCTACATTACCTCAAGAGCAACTCTTGGTAGGAGCGCACAAGCAACGAATCCTTGATTTTATCGAATATCTCTTCCAAGGATCTTATTTGCTTTTCCAACGCTTCGTTCGGCGGTGGTGTTCCCGTGCGTGTAATTTCCGTAGTTAAAATCGCATCGCTCTACGAGGAGGAGATACGTACGACACATATGTACGTATGTCGCGCGGCGCACTTACGCAACTTACCTCAGTTCGTATCAACGACCGCGCGTACGACCATAGATCCTCGACTTGTCCACGCACGAACGTCAGCATACGTTCTCTCTCCTTCATGTTGTTCCAGACGATCCGTGTAACGCGTTTGTACTTCGATCCGATGTCATCCGTCTGTTCGGCAACCAGTTGACCCATTATCGTCGTTCGAACTATCACTTCGCATTGGCTTCGACGATCGTCTTTCAACGCGTTCAGCAAAGTTTCACGGTGTATCGCGTCCTACGAACACATCTCTCGTCGCAATCCCATTTCATTCGACACACGTTCGTACGTACACACGTACTTTCTTCAAGATTCCGAGCATGCAAGCGTACGTTAAGTTTATCGCCTTTGCCGCATTTTGTTTCGCCACCGACTTTTGATACCGCGATACCAATTGTTGCTGCAATCGATCTTGAGGCCACGGTACGTCTTTCTCTCGTTCGTAGGTATCGCAAAGTTCCGCGTGCTCTATCTACGATACCTGCTGTTACACGTTGTTACAACAGCGAACCTACCTAACCTAACCCCTAACCTGTAGCTCGAAACATCGCTTCAGCTTTCTTTTCTTCTCGTAGCGGAGATTATCCAGTTGACATCGTTTCCGATGATTCTCATCGTAAACGAAAGCGTAGACATGCTGGAGAATATAAAGAAAACAGCTGTGAAACACACACACACACACACACGCGCGCGCGCGCACACAGAGAGAAAGAGAGAGAGAGAGAGAGAGCTTACATGTACCTACCTCTGTTTCACGTCCGCGACACTTCAATCGTAAATCTGCGTGATTTTGCAACAAAGCACGTATACGAGCATTCGGAATTCCTCTCGCTGTCTCGTTTACGATTTGCAGATAACGTTTGACGTCTCGCTCGTAGGAACCCAATTTCCACGTTATTCGCCTCTTCGATTTCGCGGCATCTTGCGACCTTATCTTCTTCTCGCGTGCTACTTTTTACAAGGGTTTGTTCTCAAAACAGAGAGAGAGAGAGAGAGAGAGAGAGAGAGAGAGAGAGAGATGGAGTCTCTGTTGCAACTACCATCTTCTAACCGTGTAATTTGAGGATTCCTCGATATTGTTCCAATTTATCTTTCGTCGACCATCTCGCATCTTTGATTCTACGAAACGTCTCGGTTCGTTTACCGGACGACAACATATCGCATCGATATCGATTCGGTAAAACAGACAAGAATCGCAGACGTTCATTTTAGAGAATAACGCAACTTTTATTCACTTTACGTACAAAGGGTTGTGTTCAAAGATCAAACATCTTTGTACGATCTGCAAGGCGGCGGTGGTGCGCTCCATATACCATTTTCGCGACAAGTCGGTTTCCTTACGGGTTCCAAGGGCGTTACGTATCCCGGGGAACAAGTTACCTGTATGTTGTCACCAGGTTTGTACCAAAATTTAAGAGGCGCGATTCGTCCGTGAGGTGGATCACCCGGATACGGGCATCTCACTTTGCAAACCGGCGACGGATGAGACCACGTTCCGTTCTCCGTACATATTACAGAGGCCTCGCCCAACAATTGGTGGCCGGGTAAGCAAGCGAATCTGACAAGCGCGCCAACTTTGTAGACACGAGTCGGACGTTTTCTTGCCGAGTTACGGCGACTGGTTCGTTCCACGATACGTCCACTTTTCGGTATCGACGGAACTGGACAGGTGATTTCTGTAAATAAACGAGGACGTGTTTGAGAACACTTGTCGAAAAGAACAGAGAGAGAGAGAGAGAGAGAGAGAGAGAGAGAGAGAGAGAGAGAGAGAGAGAGAGAGAAGGTGGTGCCGCGTACCGACGCAACTAGGCGTATCTCCGCTCCAGGAACCATCTCCTCGGCACTCTACGCTCCGCGCTCCCGACAATTTATGTCCCCACATACAAGCGAACACCGCTCTATCGCCAAAGGTGTTGTTGTACTCGATCAATTGCAACCACGTATCGCCAGCCGTGTCTATAGGTGGGCATTCGATCGTTTCGCATCGCGGCATATCGGTGGACCATTTTCCGTTGTATCGGCACGTTATATCAGCCGCGCCCTCCAGTCTAAACCCGACGGGACATTCGAACGCTGCTCCGTGTCCGATACGCGTACCTTCGATCTTGCCGATCAACGGTGGTTCGGGTGCGTTCAGAACAGGACACTGGACGTCTGCAACGTTTCCGTCTAATAATTGGAAAGGTAACTTCGATCGAGGCAACTTACCCACGACGCGAACGTGTATGGAATTGGACAATCCACGGGGTGTAGAGCACGTGTAGACTCCGGAGTCTTGCGCTTTCGCGTAAAATATCGACAATCGATACTTCCAGTCTCTTTCGCGAGCAGCAATCGCCCATCCTGTCGAGTAGAGACGGAACGTCGAAGTCCAAGTCCATTCGGGATCGCCAAGTTTTCTAGCGAACAGGCATTCCAGGTGTAGAATACTTCCAGGGAAAACAGCTAGAGTACCGGATGGTTCGATGGCAGCTGAACCAACCGGTAATCCAAATACGATCGTTGGCGGCACATCCTCTGATAAAGAAAGGAACGCTGTAGGTTTCGAACGCGCGGTACACGTGTATCGTTCGCTGCTCACCGGTGTAATTCGAAATAGCCGTGGTCGGGCTGCAAGAGGGTAATTTCCCGTTCCAACTTGCATCGCGACAATGCAACGAAGAATCACCGACAAGTTTGTACTTGCCAAGTTCTCTGCATCTTATCGTCACGCGTTCCCCGTGTGGTACGGTGATCTTGTCTACCTGGTAACAAACTTTTCCCCCTAGAGTGTTGTTTCTCGCGTTGGAAGAAGTAAAAAATAAACACTCACGGATATCGTGATATTCTTATAGGTAACGATCAAAAGTGGATGCAGACCCTCGAGTTTACAACCTCGCTGGATATCTGTAAGAAAAATAGTTCACAGCGCGTGCTCAGCTGAACATCGATCCTCTCCACACGTACCTACTTGCTTCGCTTGGCAAAAACATAACGTTACAGTTAGGCCGAGTAAGAGAGAGCAGAACATGCTGTTGGCGTTTGCATATCCAAACGAAATCCCGAAATTCTTCGTTTCCGGTTGGAAATCGTAAGTCGGGCTTCGGGCCAAGATTGTTGTAACGGCCTTCGGGCTTTTTTTTTTCTTTTGATATGCGTACGATGCTAATATACTAAATATACCAAAGTCGGGAGATAAGAACGCCGATAAATAACCGTGTCGGCAATATGAGAATATTTTTCTAAAGAATAAACCGGAAAAGGGTTAAATCTTGGTTGATAGGAAATAATCGGTTGATAAAGTAATCGATAATTGAATCTTACGTCGATCGAATCTTCGTCGATAAGACCTCGCAAATATGCTTGTAAAAGAAACTAATTCGCAACTCGGAGAGACAAACACTGGGGAATATTTTTCTAAAAAAAGAACTAACCCAAAATCGGAAAGACAAACCCTAGGGAATATTTTTCTAAAAAAAGAACTAACCCAACTCGGAAAGGCAAACCCTAGGGAATATGAACGTCGGAAATATGTTAATAAAAAAAAAACTAACCCGAAAATAAAAAATTGTCGCAATGTCGCTGATATGTTTAAAAAAAAATTGACTTCAGCGTCCTTGAATGGACTGGTTATTTCCGAAAATTCGAATCAATCTACCTATTTTTTTGAAAAAGAGAAACGGAAGCTCTTTTTTCAAAGAATTCAAACGGACTATATCGCTGGTAACTCCTCGATGTATCGAGGAATTTGCGAACGTTTATTCGATCGAACCCTTTCGTTTTATCCGTCACGTCTCAAGTACGATCGTATTAGTTGCTGCGTAACTCCCAACAGGTTACCTATCACGACGATTCGCTGAACAATTGTACGCCAAAAAATAACACCGCGTGGAGGTGTATTTATTTTAATATATAAATTATCTGTATAGTGATTCTAATAATCCATATTAGTATGTAATTTGAACTCAAATATTTGAATTACACATCTGTCAGGGGGGAATTAGAGTGTAATTTTATCTAAACCAATCAATTTAGGTGAAATTTTGTTAGAGTAAATTTAAATTACAGACCCGGAAAAAGAACGGAAGCCCACCTCCTGTCCTCTACCTGTACCTACGCAAACTGACGCAGAAACAATTGACATTTTAAATTGGACGTACAGATAGGGAAGAAAAGGACAATTCGTACGTCAAACTCTTCCGCAGGTGCCATCTAACAGCAGGTACGAAAACTGAAGCTTCTAGCAACAGCTCATAGATGGCAGAAGCATCGGCATACGATTGTGTGGTGTGTGTGTGTATGTGGCGTAGTTGCCATTTTTTTCTGCTCTCGCGCGCACGTGTTTGGAGTTAGGCGAACGACGTTGTACGTACGGACGAGGTTATGTATTTCGTTTAGGCGGTAAGTTTACGGTTCAAAGATTCGAAAAACACATTTTCGATTTAATTTGTAAAACTGAATTTTCTTACTTAACGCAGTAGCAAAGATGCAAGAAAATCGTACGTCATAATTATCAAGGACAGTTTATTCATATTTGCCGCCTTTGGATTCACACACCAGCGAGAGGAAACGGAGAGATTTTAAATAAGTAAGTAGCTCTAAACAATTGTTATAAATTCTTTTATATTAATGTAAGATATTAATTTAGACATTTCGCAACAACTGGCAACAGGAGTTTATCGCGGAAAGAATTGGGCGAAAGGTTAGAAGGTGGCGAATTGAAAAAATCGAAGAATGACAGTATGGTACGTATATTTCTATTCCAGGCGTATCTCAATGTGCGTATTTTTCATTGTTGGAATACTCTGCATTTGGAATTGGGATAAGCGTGTAAGAGTGAACGTTGAAAATAGCATATGTTATTAGTATTAGCGATAAGTGCAACATAGTTGAAATCAACAATATTAATCTTTTTGTGGTACATTTAGGAAATATACAATCTTAGGTGGAACAAACTTTGGAGAAGTTTCCGTGGAGGTTGGCATCTGCAAAGGACATATTCTTCTGCTGGATTTCACTTGTAATTATGATAGACAAGTACAATTAAGGGCCCTTCTGAGTTTTCATAAATTGATAGTTTTAAGTGTCTTGTAAGATATGTTTCAAGTTATTCTAAGATATGTTTTACTCAGGCAAGAAAAGGTCATCTTACGACGGACTAGCAATTAGGAGGAACAAGGATTCCGATTTCTTCGCAACATATGTTTTGTCCAAAAGGTTCTAATAGTTGCGCTGAAGCTAATTACGAACTCGAACGACATGCTTCATTACTCTGGAGAACTTAGAAATGTAAAATTCAAGTTTTAGAAATCTTTTCTTTCTTAGCAAATCTTTATATTTTCAAAAGTTTCACTGCAAAAGTACACTGAAATTGCTACCTAATCTTATCAAAAAATGCTTGGAGTGCAAAGGGTTAAATAGTCGAGTTTTATTAAACAGATGTGTTGGGGGGCGAAACAGTAATGAAAGTTACAATGCCGTTACTATTCTACTATTCAATATGACGGCATTTTTTAAATAATGATTTTTTGTTTAAATCCCTATGAATTAAAAAAATCTTCGCTATTCTGTTGCAGCTCAATTTGCCGAGAAGATTCCATCAGCCTTTTCTAGCCTGCGCATATTGACTGTATATGTGACATTTGTATGAATAAATTTTGTGTTTGAATATTTCTTTCTTTTACCCTTCATTGAACAAAAACTTCTCTGAAATACTCTTTTTCAAACGACTGTAAGGACGTTATTCGTATATTCTAGTTGGTGAATTAGTTGTTACAAAAGTATTATTTGAAAAATGCTACTACTACTACTATCGTTAATTGTATCGTACAATTGTACAACGCGACTACCGTTCTTTTTATTCAAATTTAATTCGACGTCACACTGGCGCCACCTGGATCAAAATTAATTTCTATTTCGAGTATCGATTGTACTACCTGAAGTCGAGAAAGGACGCGTTCGAGTGTCGCGCGTGGCGGCAGAACGCATCAGTACGATTTGTGCGTTCGTGTAGGAAGGACTAAGTAAAGTGTGAAAATGTGAAACGTGTATCACCGTGGAAGTTTGAGGACAATGGTAAGCTTTTCTTATTAGTGTTATCAAAGATCGAATATTGCACGCGATGCGTGTATTTATTTGAATTTTGTGTTAGAAAATTGTTCGGAATAATACGGCAAAACCAATTGTGACTTGAACGTTATTATTATTCGGGACGCTAGGTGCGGCAGTTGTTGGCATTTCCTTGTTTATTATTTTTTCATCAGCATTATTGTTATTTTATTACTACGACGCGTAGTCCTCAGCTTGCTTTCCAAAATCAGAGACGCGCATTTTCGTTATCTCGGTGGCCGTCGGTGAAGCGTGTAACTCAACACCACCCGGTTTCTCTTTGTTTGCCCATGGTGTTTTTCTAAAATTTTTTCTGTTTAGATACGCACGCCACTTAACGGTTTGTTTAGTTGAGCCGCTGGCGAGAAGTATATACCAAAGCGTATAACAAGTAGGTTAATAATTTTTCTATTTCATTGTTACCTTTTATTCGAAAGTGTTCGTTCGGCAAAGGCGGGCGAGTTTAGTGAAAAGCTTGAAAGTCGGGCGCGTTGTTATAAAAAAAAAATTGGTATCGAATCTTGGATAATTGAATGCTACTTGAATCTTGGATAATTGAAAGAATATTCTAAAAAATGTGTACAAATATGTTTGTAAAAAAAAAAGTAAACTCAAACAACTGTAAACTAATTTGTAACGAAATGCAATACTTTTCATTGCACCCAGCTGGAAAATTCTTCGCCTGCCATCCATCGGAGACGACGACGACGACGACGACGACGGGATTCTGGATCGCCGACGACATCGGTGATTTACGGCAAGTAGTTACGTTTATTCCACATACATTAGGTTAATTCCATGCTCTGTCATTAATTCAGTAATTGACCATGAAAATGAAAAAATTGACGTAATGGAAGGAGGGTAGAAGCAATAATGTTAGAACGTTATAACGTTAGAACGTCGGGTTAGAGAGTCGGGAGTATTATTATAAAAAAAAAAATAACTTGCTGCCGAATTCGCAAAAAAAAAATCGATAATTGAATGTTGTGTTAATTGAACGTTAATTGAATAATCGTTGATCGGATCTTAGAATCTTTGTTAATGTGATGTACTTTTGTAAAAGAAAAATAAAAAAAAAAAAAAAAAAAAAAAAAAAAAAGTAACCTAATGCCCAAAGCGTTTTTCCCGAGTTAGGTTGGTTTACATATTCCCGACGTTATATGAACGAATTACTTTGTAATAATATCGTATCAAGCAACTCTTTACCGAGTCGATATTAGGTTGGTTTCGAAAAATATTCCCGTCGTTCGTATCTCCGACTGTTCGTTGTTTTTAATTAGACTGTTATCTCACTGTATTAGCAGTGTCAGGTATTAACTATTCCATTATTCAATCGACGATTTTAATATCTCCGGCGGTTGTTTAATTGGCGAGTAGCTTGTTATCTCCTTATTCCTCTGCAGCCCCCCCGCGTCTAAAGTATATCGAGGCATTTTTGAAGAATTGTTCTGTCTGTTATTCGACTGCTTTATTTTTGGATCCTAACCGTGTTACACAATGTCGCGATAAGGTATTGGACAAAGGGATTCCGCGAGAAACCGAGGCGAGAGGGCTCGTGTTTCCGTGCCGCCAAAAGCGCTGGACGTCTTCCGTCGCACTTACCACACGCGCGGTCCTTTTTTATTTTTCAAACGTACCGCTTCTTCGCTGCCGTCACATCACGTCTGATCAGTTTGATTTAATTTGTTGATATGAACGTCGGGAGTATTATTATAAAAAAAAAATAACTTGCTGCAGAATTCGCAAAAAAAAAATCGATAATTGAATGTTGTGTTAATTGAACGTTAATTGAATAATCGTTGATCGGATCTTAGAATCTTTGTTAATGTGATGTACTTTTGTAAAAAAAAAAAAAAAAAAAAGTAACCTAATGCCCAAAGCGTTTTTCCCGAGTTCGGTT